GGGATTGTTGGAGTTGTAACTTAAAACTTGGGTTTGTAGAGGAAAAGAGGAAAACTTTAGTCCCACATTGGAAAAGAGATGGGAAGATAGGCTCTGGGTCGGGTCGGGTCGGGTGGCGCGCGCACACGACCTGCGGACACGAATGCCACACGACCTGCGGACACGAATGCCGCTCCGGATTAATGGGCCTTTAATCTGATACATTTTTATTTTTGAATTCTGATACATTTTTATTTTTGAATAATTAAAATGTAATATTTATTTTTGAACAATTAACATGTGATAAACGTTTTGTAACGGTTAAGAGAATTAAAATTTGAAACGGTAATATTCATGAGATTTAAATCAGAATCAAAACGAAAAAAGAATTTTTATGAGAATTAAATCGGTAATTAAAATGAAAACGGATTTTTATTAAATCAGTAATTAAAACCGAATCGAGTTTTTATGAGAATTAAATCCGCGGGATTTGTAACGGCTGTTTTTTCCCCTATAAAAACCAACACCTGCCGAAGGCTAAAGATACAGTTTTACAAATGAATTTCTCCTCTTCTTCTCTTTCAAAATATTTGCTATTATATTCTGTTGGTTCCCTGAAAGTCTACAAGAGTTCGCAAAGCCTTCTTGACGCTCGTGCCGACGAGAAGGAGGTCGCCTGACCGAGGGTCGTTGTATCTCTGGGAACTTTTGCCACGTAGCCCTGTACGAGAGGGGGCAATTAGATTCTTGGGACAGTGCTTGCACGCCTCGACCATCAGGCCGTATTTCTAACTTTATTTACTTTTCATTTGATATATTTCTTATATCTGTGTTATAATAGTGATTATCTGTTAATTATTAAATTTTCGTTATTGTCTAAACAGCTAATATTCCTAACAGAGAGAAGTGACATTGATAAGCTTCTAACCCACCTCGAAGCGCACTCTGTTGCAATCAATACAACTCCAGACAGCTTACGATGGCCCCTACATTCATCTATCTCCTTTTCAGTAAAATCCTGCTATGCCAACATCACCTCTGGTGGGCTGAAGTCCAATATTTATAAGTTCATCTGGAAATCTCACATCCCCTTAAAGGTTAAGGTCTTGTTTTTTATTATTTCTAAACAAAAGCTTAATACCATAGCTAATTTGATCACCAAAGGTTGGATTGGTGACCCACGTTGTCCTCACTGCTACCAGGAGGTCGAAACTTAAGACCACATGTTTATTCACTGCCCTTTTGCGTGTTCAGTCTAGTATTCCCTCCTCCATCATGCTTCTTTTGTTTAATGGCCTCAATCCATGGAGGCGCTGATCCTATTATACAGGGACCCCAATGTTTGTGCAGACATTAAAGTCATCTGAAAATGCTTGTTACCTTTCTTCTGCTGGTGGATGTGGAATTGTAGAAATCTTCCTATATTTATAGATTTCCCTGCAAATCCTATTCATATTGCTGCTAATATCGCAAGGTATGTCATCTTTTGGACAGGGGTAGAAGAAGATACACTTACGAGGCGCATTCGTAGGGCGGCTCTTAACTTGAAGATGCAGGAAATTACGAAAAAGAACACTGCAGGTGCTAGCGGTGATAACTTCTCCGAAGATATCTGAATTGTTCGGTGGCTCTCTCTCAGTGCGTCTCTCCCAATGTCTGCTTATACTATCGGAAACTAGTTTGTTTGTTTTATTGTGTTGTATGCTTCCAGTGTTTATGATTTTTGTACCAGACTCTATATTAGCGCGTGATGCCTTTCTTTTGGTTTTGAGTGAAGGATCTCAGTAGGCTTAGCTTGGTAGGTGACGACCAAGTCCGCTCCTTACCAGCTGCTTCTCTTCTTTAATCCTTCCTCTCTGCTTCTATGTTGGACTTGTAATAGACTTTTCATCTTAGTTATATATATTATTATTGATCAGGGTACCTCACCCTGTTTTTCAAAAAAAAATGAAAAAGATAACTATTACTTATTTTGGGAAATCTGATGTCCCTAACCT